TACAAGGGTCACGATACAATACACATCGCGATACAAGGGTCACGATACGATACACATCGCGATACAAGGGTCACGATATGATACATATACGATATAGGGTAATGGGATTTAAATTAACATTTTATCTTCAAAGTTTCTATATTATATTAATAGGAGTTGATAAGAGTGGTTAGCGTCCACTGTCTTGTAAAAAGTTTTTAACAATTTCAGTGGAAAAAAATTTTTTATTATAAAACAACTTATAAATATCCCCACTTTTTCATGGAATAAAATGTATCGCCAAGTATCGATACATGACGTCGATTCACTGATACATCATGCCAGCACTAATAAGAAGACATAATGAAATAATTTTCTGACACAATTTTTTTCAGCCAAAAATTGTTTCATTTGGACTAAATGTGATTACTTCACTTTGTTGTCTTAAAAGCAAATCATCGAAATTGATTTAGGATTTGTCAAAACAATTTCAAATTATAAAATATTTAAAAAAAAAAATGTCAAATCCCACTCAGGAAAAGAATTTAAAAAAAAAATTACTTAAAATAAGTTTAAAAAAATTTACCTTAAGATTAATGACTAACAAGACTTCCTTAAAGTAGGTTTTACTTATGATTATAGCCAGACAGCTATCTATAGCACTGACAAAATTCTAATGAATTAAGTTAAAAGGGTTATTATTATGATATATTGTACCTATATTGATACTATACAGTTATTATTGACCTATCTAATGTATGTTTACCAATCACTTCTATAGCTACCGTACAATATCAATACCCTTATCATTGAGAACCTTTTTTCATTTCACTCAACCCCTAAACACAACCCTCTCTTATCACATAATGATTAATCAAATACTCTAGATCTACATACAAAATCTCTTTCTTCTTTCATAAAAGACCTGATCCAACTTGACATAGATTTCAACTTCTTATATTATTATGAAATTCCGCACTTAGACTAATGAGTTTTAATGAATAGTTTATTGAGACTACTTTGATCATACCTAATCACCGATATTAAGACATTAATAGAACTTGGGGACCTATATCATACCTTGCTTACTCTTTCAGAAACACCTGATGGTACTTCACTTTGGAGGAGTCCACTACTATACAACTTTTTCTCTTGATTTTGCCAAACTTAAGACGAAATTTTGATCTACGGATTTTAATTCCATATTGGCACCTTCCATCATGGGCGATAAATTAACAAAAGATCAACATTGATTGCAGAATCTCTCTTGAAAAAGATTTTTAATAGGTCAAAATGCTGCGCACTGTACCCCCACAAATATACAGTATCTGTTAGATAGTCTGATTAAGAACCTACAAAACGAATTTGCCATTTAGCCTAGATCTTTTTTGAAATGTGGATAACTTTCATTCCATGTGGCTTGTTTCCAAAGCAATTTAACTCAGCATACAAAGTACATTAGCCAGTTATGTATGACTATGGTATAAGAAAAACACCTTATTTGATATATCTAACATAAAACTTCTGAAAATTGTAAA